TCTCTCTCTCTCTCTCTCTTTCTGCCTATTTTTAAGTTTTTTTTATGGATATTTATAATATTTATTTTCCAAGACATTTATTTAATGATTACTACATTTTATTTTATTTCAGAAATCTTTTGGCTGTCAAATCATCTTGATGTTATCGTTCCTGCTACAAAAGGATGGATCTTCTTTGGTTTCTTCATCCATAATGTGAGTTTCTTTCTTTTTGTCTTGCATGCTTGCCTGGCTAATTTTGAAAATTATATATATATTTTCTATATATTTTGCGGTGATGAGTAAGCGATGAGTTTTATGTCGCTTGATCGATTATCAGTCTTTATTGATATAAATAATCATCCGCGAAATAATATTTTTTGCAAGTAACTCAAGAGTAATGATGCGTGATAATTGTGTGAACATGGTATATATAAATACTTCCGCTATTTTACGGAGAATGTTAGAGCGAAGAAGGGCAAACGGCTGCAAATAAAACACTCGCGCGTTCTAACGTTATCGCCTTTGTTGAGGAACGGCGTTTCCGAGGTGGAAGGATACGTTATCGGCGTTTGTCGCGAGCGTTTACATCGGAGCGGAGTGACTTAACCGACGGCAAACGTCCGTTCGTTCTGTGAGTCCATCCGGAGCAGAGACCCGTGCGTTTATCTTCGGTAGAAGTCGGGGTAGAGTATACCCGATAACTTTTCGCTCCTGGGAGGGGTGTGTCTGCGCGCGCGGGTCGAAAGGGGCAAACAAATTGAAATCTGTATCTCTAATCCGATCCACTTTGTCTCCAAATAAGACCAGCCAACCCCCTCGCTTTGAGCCGACGACTCGGTGGTGGAGGCTTTACGCGCGTTTCTCACACACACACACACGCGCGTACGAGCGTGTGTGCATGCGTCCGTTTGTGTGTACTACGCGTCGATGTTTGAACACACACAGCACTCACACACAGACGCACATACATACACACTTGCGGTGTATAAAGGAGAGCGGAGGAGTGTACGGGCAAAGTAAACCCCGCAACTAGCTCGGTTGCCGAGGCCAGCTCGAGTTATACGCAGCCAGTTTCATCCCCTTTCGCGTTCCGCGGTGTCATCGTCAGAGGGCGCTGTGGTTGACACAGAATGACACCCTCCCCCAACCAACGACGCGGTATACACAGCCGAGCTACCCCGTAGCGGAATAGTCGTCACCGCCAGGGGCGGACATGTAGAGGCACGAGGCGCATCCTAGATGAGAATCTTTCGATCGATCGGACACTCCAAACGACGAGCGCGACTAATTGACTCGCTTGCGTCGCGTCGACCGAACTTAGAAAACGTATCACATCCACTTCTCCTTCCTTTGCGAGCGGGAAAGAAATTGCTCGTAAAATACGTCAAGTAAAAGAACGTAAAGTACAAACTGTTTAATATACGAGTACGAAAGCGACATAGTCGAGCGTAAAAACATTTTCGACAAACGGTAAAAAAAAATTTGAAGATTATCTGGTTCTTTAACGATATAAATTTAAGGATATTTATTGAATACGTAAAAAGTGTAAAAAACTATCAACTTTGATTACTCATACGTCTCTTTTTTTTTATTTAAAGAGTAATAATTATGTCTATCGGTTTTTACACATTTTTTTCTGGCATTATATACTCTCGGGGAGAAAGAAAATAATACGCATTAAATGGCTACTTCATAAATAAGCTCTGGATATTTAATCGGATTACAAGAAATCGTAATGTGCGTCGTAAAACCTTGCAACGGCGACGTAATTAGAGCGGTTACCGATTAAGCGCCAGCAAGGTCTCAGTATGCCTCGTAAAGAGTGACGATCCGTCGCACTGCGTGCGACTAATACACACCGATCTTTTTCGTCCCCCTTTTGATTCGCGAACGTCGGCGTCGGCCGAACAAACAAAACACTGTTCTCAATCAGCCACCCTTCCTCGCGCAGCGCCGTTTTCTCGACTCTCGCGAATCGCCCCCCGGTTTGACCCGCTAAATCTCGGTTCGAATTCAGGGGGTGGTTCCCGTAGGGGAGGAGACCGTGCTTATACCAGCGAGAAAGAGAAAAGGAGGAATACGGACGCGGTGTGGCAGCCACTAAATTTCCGCGTGGAGCAGAGAGAGAGATATATGTATCCAGCGCGTGCAGCAGTCGCGCGCGAGCGTGGAGGATTTAAATTTTAAATTTTATTTGATTATATTTGAATTTAATTTCGTTACTTGTCCGGAGGGTGGTTCCCGGCCTCGGCAGCAATCTTCGCGATACTCCCGTACGTACATACACACCGATATATTTCACTCACGCGCGCGTGCATCGCATCGGTGTGTATCTCGTCGCCGAGAGCGCAGTGGGTGGTTTCTTTTTATTACACCCCGCGGAGGAAGACGTCAGGGATTCTTCGGTCGGGTTGCTCGCTACGAACCTGGTAAAGGCGGCTAGGTGAGTCGTGGCGAAAAAGCGACAGTCGCCGCGAGGAGAGAGAAAGAGAGAGAGAGAGAGAGAGCGCGCGCGCGAGAGGAGGAGAAACGAAAGTAATTGGAACGGCCAGGCGCAACGTACCGGAAATTCCGGGGTTGATCATAGCGCGTGACACCGCCTTTCGGAACTTTTAATCTTCCGACGGAGGACCGCGACGTATTGCTTGTCCTCGGAAGGGCGATTCGCGTAAAATGAATCCGCCCTCTGTTCGTTCGTCTGTCTCCGCATTTGCGGACGTAACGCGTGCGTTCGTCTGGATAATTTATCCCCCGACGATGCGAGAGTTCTAAAGACCGATTTTGCGGTAATACGCGAAGTCATTTTCTGTCATCTTCTGCAGTTTCTCAGCTTCACATTCTCGGCGGTAACGAGGTGCTGTGCTAAACCGTCGTGACAATCTCACGAAGATGTATAATCCGCTTATAGGTTGAGTCACAGTTCTCTTGCGGGATTATCTGAAATTGTAAAAAGAATTGTTAATTGAAAAAGGTAAAGTCAAAATGCAACTGCGGGCCGCGCTTTAATAAGTTACGGGACAAGTCCGCGGAGATTTTTGCGTCGCGCAGCGTATACGCGTGTTATTTATTATTTCGACGGCGAGTCGCAACGTTGAGCGATCGTCGCGAATTAAGGACGCGCTCCTTCGTACCGCATACCAAGACCGGCGAGCCTGGTAGCCAGGACGCGCGCTGGAAAGCATTCGCCGCGCCGCAACCCGGTGTCCTTCCTCTCGCCGTGCGGCGCGATAAGGACAGCGATACGCGGAAAGGATATGGTATAAGCTCGGTGAGCGATGCCGCAATTAGCCGGGATGTCTCGCCGCGGTGGGTTCGAGCCTGCCGAAAGCAATAGCTCGAGAATACGCGTCGGCGTAACACCTGGCGAAATGAGCGAAGCGCTTCTCTTATGCATCTTGTCGCGATCATTACCGCTCGAATCATACTGTAAAACGACGATATTGCGATAATGCGATATTGTTTAATCCTGGAGCGACAGGCCTTAATTTTCTTACATTTTTATAATGCGCTTTGCTGGAAGCGGCTTAAATTTCTTATTTCGTTAATTAGTTTTGTACATTCTTTACGCTATAGATTACAGATTAAAGGGAAGCACTTTATAATATACAAAGGGCGTTATAGATTAAATGCTAACATGGCACATTGTGACAAAATGAAAAATAGCTTCTGATATCAAAGTGGACCGCAATTATTTTCCAAAATATCGCGCGTGTTTTTAATAGCGATTATTTAAGTTATTGCTAGGCTACTTTCGCTAGGCTAATAAATATCGTGCGCGGGTTCATAACACCTTAAGTGCACGTAGCGCTCCTTAATTATGATGACAAGGCTATGGCCAGTAAAAATGCACGCGAAAGGAGATGTAGATGACACGTTAGGATTACAGTCAACGTGATTAATATACAAAGGACACGTAGGTGCTCCGAGATTACATACTCTCAACAATCTACGTAGTGCTTTCGAATTAATCACCGTCAGGGCAAATTTACTAACGCTATATCTTGTACAAACAGCGACGTCACATCATTTTTATTTGCTCCTGATTCTAATTTGCCGGTTTAAGAAAAGAGCAATGCGACACTTTGCAATAAAAATTCCGATAAAGTTAAAAAAAAAATGAAATTTTTCCACATGACATCTCTAATTCATCATAAATCTGTGTATTGTGAGTAAAAATAAGACTTGAATATGCGATTGGTACTTGGCGGAAATTACTTTACGCGGATAAACAATGACGTTTCAATTATCATTCGTGGTGAACTATTTGTACACAAAGAGCCACGCCAAAAGAACAAAGCGTTCGTTGTAGGCGAATAATGTCGACTATCTCGTAGACGGTTCTATCTCCGGTACCGACCGTCAAACGCCATAAAATTAAATAGACGTAAATTCTCTCGACGAACTTGGCCAAGCGCCAAAATTCTCTGCCAACGCCACTTTGCCGTACCACTTGGGCATAGTGTAAAGGCAAGACTGGAATTGGCTGTGAATTTTCGAATAGTGTTTGCGCTTCTACAGCAACCCAGCGTGTTATGCTATTTTTCAAACTTTTTTGTCCAGCAAAATGTTTCAAGAATAACACGTTCTGGTAAAAATAAGCAAAATTTGTGGAGAGAGCTACGAGATTTATACGATTCTGTTATTTACGATTCCAGAACTCAGATTTCCGAATAAATCGTTTAATTTTCGATCGGTTCGCAAAAAATTATGACGAAACCGCTCGGATTCTTTCGCTCGCAGCAGTTCGTACTCAGCAAATCTCGTCTCCTCCCCTTCCCCTGTGATATCTTTCCTAGTGTCTTACCTCGTAAAGGTGGAGGAGACTCGTGGATCGACTCGATTTTTATCTAACCCAATCTTCCTCCTCTCCCTCGTGCCCTCCCCTCTCGCTCGTCTCGTAGACGCTCGCGGTCTCGCTTCGCAGAGCGTATGCGCGACTTTAATCTATGCTAAGTCGAGCTGTGGGGTCTCATCCCGATGCTGATGGCGGTGGTGGGTTCCAAGCCCGGACATGGAAATCCCGTGGCTGGCTTGGAATCAGCGGTAATGCAGAGTCATCCTGATCCCGGGCGAGTTTAAACGGTATCCCTGTTAAAGGCGCCTCAGCTAAGCGATTCCGTGAGTCGAATTCACCGAGAGAGAGCTTGCCTTGTAGTTTGGATAGCTTTCTTCCGGTGCTTTTCGTGAAAATTCGGCAATCTAACATTGCAGTAATTGCAGTTCAAAATTCTGTTAATTTTCTGTAACAATCGCGCAGCAATCACGAATTTGAAAGTTCAACATATTGATCGAAAATCTGGACGATTGAAAGATTTTAAAAGGAAAGCTGACTAGAGAGAAAATATCTTAAGGATACTCGTGGAGCATAAGCTCGTGCAGTGTAATATAGGCCGTGACAAGAATTATCCTCGAAAGCGTATGGGGGGGGATTCTCTTCCTTCTCACGATCGAAGGCGCTATGGCCTTTCTTACATCGCGCGCGGGTACTGAGCTGCGGCGAAATATAATTCAGTCTTAATTAGGATTTACGCAACGACGGAGAACAATTAAAACGTAAGACGATTGCCATAATCGGTCGCTGCTGCCGCGGAATTATTGTCCCGCGTCCGCAGCCTTAATTTGTCGTGGATTAATTGTAACGTTGTCAACCCTTTCCCTCCCCCCCCCCCCCTCCTCTCACGGAAAGTCGATCGAACAATCGAACAATCGTCGCCGCTGTAGCGGAGGACTGAGTGAAAAATCGAGATGGAAACGCGACATTCATTTCGTCCCGTGACAATTGCTTCTTTTAATTACTAAAGCAAAAGCTATTGCACCGCGTTGACACGATGGGTCACATAAATTTTATCTCTTGCTCTGCGCCGATTTTTTTTCCTGCCAGAAATGCGGCACTTACTCGTCAACCTTTTGAAAAGTGATGATCGAATTTTCTGCCATAATCTTATCGTGAAAATTCTTATGCTTAGTTATACAGATAAGTTTGACAAGATTAATAGAAATTAATATAAAATTTAACGCATAATAAACTACAAATATTATTATTTTATGGCAGATATAACATTATAAATCTTTAAAAATATAGTGAACTTTACAATAAAGCAAAGAAAAATGAGGTAAATTTTTGACAAAAAAAAAGCAGAAAGAGAGAGAACGAGCTATGATTAATGTACTGATTGCTATGATGTTATGGTGTCGACAACGTCGTACGACTCGAAAATTGATCGTTGCTATGGTCATCGTCTGGAATCGTCGGGATCATCAGCGTGCATTTCGAGGATAATCTCCGAGATTAGCGATTAGACGCTTAATAATCGTCGTGAGTAGCCCCATGAGCCAGCCGGAGCACCTGCCGTGCAGGTGCAATCGCGACGGATGGCGCCACCCTCTGCCCGGATTGAAACCTGTTTTTCTATGTGGCAAAAACTCGCGACGAATCTCACGGATTACGCCTATCACGGATTCCAGGAACGCCATCATTCCGAGAGTAAGCGCGAACGGGATGTTAATGCGCCGATAGTGTCCCGTGCTTTTTTCCACGGCAACCACATAGAAATCGGTTGAATATTCAGATTTCAAGACGGCCACTCTGTTTTTACCCTGTGGAGAATTATCGCTTCATTAGTTCGCCGTCGTTCATTAATCTCGCAACTGCGCCCGTAGTCGATTACCGAACGCTCGGGATAAAACACTCAGGACGCGCATCCCCGAGACATCTTTCGCGCAAACGCGCGTGCAACTTTCTCAATTAAGTCAATCGAGCGTCGTCATCGGCTGTTTCTTTCCGATCGTTGGGTCCTGCTTGATATTCCACCAGCGCGGCTGCGGTCCATAAACAAACGCGGGGCCTCGGTCCCTCGCATACGAATCTCTTCATCGCTTCCAAATAAGTCGATTTGCATAGAGCGGCGTAACTTGGCCTTTATTCGTAAACTAATACGGCGATTTTCGCGGCGCGCTTGATCGGTAAATTACCTGGAGTTACGTTGGCTCCTTCGATGTCGTTGGGTCAGCAACCATTTTCCGTGCCAGCGAGGATCTAATGATCGGGCTGTAGCTAAGCAGCGTGCAGCAGCGGGGTCGGTCGATCGCGCAGGGTGGCGAGCGGGCGCGCCACGAACTGACATTTCCCTGCAATAAATTCCACCTGGTTAGGGGGCAAATAACCGACGTAATGCGTATGGTAGGCGCTGTAGAGAATTACGTGTTTGCGGTTATTGGCAGTCCGGGGCCCTCGAAGGGCAAGAAAAGCCACCACGCGGATAGGAGCGCGAGCGCGAGAGAGACTGCGAATGGAAGAGAGAGAGAGAAAGAAGAAGAAGAGGGAAAAGAGAGAGAGAAAGACAGAGGGAGGCACGAGAGAAGAAGGATGAGGAGGAGCTGCCGGCCGGCAGTACTCCCTTCTTTCACGGTGGTCCGCAGCTCCGAGTGGCTCTTCTTGTCTTTATCTCCCATGAGGGCCCCTTACAGGAGAGAGAGAGGGGCCCCCGCGGCTAATATCCAACATAACCCACCCTATTCGGTTTTCGAGCGAGGGCCCCGGC